GGAGGCGGACGGCGATACTGCCGCTACAGGTTCCAGGAAATCTGGAGGACCTCATCGTTACGCTATCCCACGCGCTGTGATTCATCGATCATATCCACGCAATTTAGTTATGATGTTAAATTCATACATATATGTGTACATATAAATGCATATATATATATGTATGTATGCGTATGTATACGTAGATGCTTACACGCGTACATAATATGTATATATATATATATGTGTGTTTCTCTGTTTAGACATGTGCAGTTATAAGTTTCCACATATGGATGTAGCTATGCATGCGTATATCTGCATATCTATACTAATGTATGCATATATGTATATGTTTATTTACATATATACACGTATATAAATGCGTGTATGTGTGTATAGGTTGATAGTTTATGTTTATACATACGTATACACATATACATACACGGATGTTCAACAGTATACTTACATATATCTTTATACATATACATACAGATGTGTAAATATATGTTAAGCACGTATGCAACGTACAAATACACCTCTATGTATACATATATATATATATACACATACATACACACATATATATATATATACACATACATACATATATAACTATATATATATATGTGAATATATGTATAAGTATCTCTATATGTATACATTCACATATATATATATATATACATATATATATATAAGAAGACAGCGGACATCCGAGCCTGACAAAAATGAAACGTCAGGCCATTCTGCCCTGACGGTCGCGATCGGTCGCTACCGGTCGCGACCGGTCGCGACCGGTAGCGACCGACGGTCGCGACCGGTCGCGACCGGTAGCGGCGACCGAAATTTTCAGCGTTTCAGAGAACGACCGGTAGCGCCTTTCGCTACCGAAATTTTTCGGTAACGAATGATCTGGGCGGCCCGCCTGCGGAGCGGGCGGCGGCGCCCGCGGCAGGCCCGGCTGCGGAGCCGAGCCCCGGGGCGCCGGCGCGGGAGCCCCCGGAGGAGGACAGCGACTCTTACGACAACTACTCGGGCGAGGAGGCCGGCGCCGCGGGCGCGCCGACGGCAGCAGCGGCAGCAGCCCCGACGGCGGGGCTGAGCGCGGAGGCGGCTCGGGCAGCGGGGCAGAGCGGAGCAGCAGCAGCCGCGGCGGCAGCAGCCGGGCGGGGCGGCGGGGCCGGGGGCGCCCGCCGCGCAGTGCCCGCCGCAGGGCAGCGGCAGGCGGCAGCGCCGGGGCAGCCGGCACCGGCCCCCGCGGGGCGACGGACGCGGCCGACGCTGCCCCCGCCGGCGGCGGCGGTGCCGCCACCACCGGCCCCCCCCGAGGGGCGGCGGAACCCGGCGGAGAGCCCCCCCGGCCCTGCGGCACCGGCGGCAGCGGAGGCCGCGACGGACACGCCGGAGCCGCTTCCGGGCGTGCCCAGCGCGCGCCTGGTCGCAGCGGCTCTCCAGGAGGCCGGCTGGTCGGGCTTCGCGGCGACGGACCTCCCGGAGGGGCAGGTGCTCCTGCGGTGGAGCCGCGGGGAGGCAGCGCGCGAGCGCTGAGCCCGGACTGCCGCCAGCCGCGCGGCGCGGCGGCGGTGGCCGCGCCCCCGCGCGAGGGCCAGGCGCTCCGCGCCGCTGGCCCCGCCGAGGGGGCGACTGCCCTCGAGTTCGCCCTGGGCGAGGGCGATCGCGACATCGAGGTCTGCTACGAGGCGCTGGGCGGGAGCCTGGCGGAGCGCTGCTGGGCGACGCTCACGGAGAACGAGCAGCTGGACGACGAGCTGCTTCCGGCCCCCCCATGGCGTGGTTTGAGGGCGACGGCGGCGACGGCCCCGAGGCGGACACTCCGCCTCCGCAGGTCGCCGTCGGCGAGGCCGGCGCAGGCGCGCCAGAACCGGCCCCCCCCGAGCGGGCGGGGGGCGACGGTCCGGAGGCCGGCGGGCTGACCAGGGAGCTGCTCCTGCAGGCGCTGCGGGAGGGCCTGGACGGGTCCGGCCGGCCGGCCGCGCGGGTGCTCGCCCCGGCGCTGCAGGTCGCCATTCGCGGGCTGGGCTTCCGCGAGGCGCGGGCCCGGCTCTTGGCGGCCGCTGCGGCGATCCCCGGCGCGGAGGGTCGCCGGCGGGTCGCCGGGCGAGCGCTGGCCGGCAACGGGCGCGCGAGGCGCGGCTGCCCCTCGCGGCGCGGGCAGGCCGGCGGGGCCTGAGCGCGCGGAGCTGCTGGGCGCCGGGCGCCTGGGGCGGCGCCCCGCAAAGTCGGGGTGCCAGGGGTCGGCCGAGGGCCGCGCTTGCTTTGCTGTTGCTGCTGCTGCTGCTTCTCGTCTTCTCCTCGTCGTCCCCTTCTGCTTTCTTCCTTTTCCCAAGCCACAGGGCGCCCTCTCCGAGCTAGTAAAAAGTGTATGGTTTACGGGTTTGGTTGCCGCACCTTGCGATTAAAGGGCAGAGGGAGTTCTCGCAGTTTGGGTTGCCACGCCTTGCGATGGATGCGCGTGAAGGGTGGCACCGAATTTCAGAAATGTTGCAAATCCCATGTGTTTTTGGACCCTGACCCCGCGGATCTGCGTAAGGGGTGGCGCCGAATTTCAGATACGCGGCACATCCCGTGTGTTTTTTTGACCCTGGCCCCGCGGATGTGCGTGAGAGGTGGCACCGAATTTCAGAAATGCGGCAAATCCCTGATGTTTTTGGACCCTGGCCCCGCGGATCTGCGTGAGGGGTGGCACCGAATTTGAAAAATGTGGCAAATCCCTGATGTTTTTGGACCCTGGCCCCGCGGATCTGCGTGAGGGGTGGCACCGGATTTCAGAAATGTAGCAAATCCCATGTGTTTTTTGACCCTGGCCCCGCGGATCTGCGCGAGGGGTGGCACCGAATTTCAGAAATGTGGCAAATCCCTTGTGTTTTTGGACCCTGACCCCGCGGATCTGCGCGAGGGGTGGCACCGAATTTCAGAAATGTGGCAATTCCCATGTGTTTTTTGACCCTGGCCCCGCGGATCTGCGTGAGGGGTGGCACCGAATTTGAGAAATGTTGCAAATCCCATGTGTTTTTGGACCCTGACTCGCGGATCTGCGTGAGGGGTGGCACCGAATTTCAGAAATGTGGCAAATCCCATGTGTTTTTGGGCCCTGACCCAGCGGATGTGAGTGAGGGGTGGCGCCGAATTTGAGAAATGTTGCAAATCCCATGTGTTTTTGGACCCCGACCCCGCGGATCTGCGTGAGGGGTGTCGATTTCGAGCCCCCCCGGCAATTCAGGCGACGCGCCCAGGAGACGCTAAAAGTTTTGTTTGGGCCCCCCCTCCCCTCGCGCGGCCAATCAACTAGTTGCAGTGACCAGCAAGAAGCAGAACTGTAACACTGGAAACACTGTAACACTGGAAACAATCGCGGCCCTACAGCCTGGTGGCCCCGCAAGGGGGCCGGCGGATCCTGGAGGCCTCGCGCTGCACGTAATACAGTATTATCTAGTCCACGCGATGCTCCGGCGTCAGTCCGACGTAAATCCGAAGTGATATCGACGCTTCCCGACGAAAGCCCGATGTAAATCCGACTGGGGTCCGACGCAAATCGGGTCTCAAGTTGCCGCGCAGGGCCTCCAGGATTTCCTTTTATCCAGTCGCCGTGCGTTTGTGACGCGATGGGGTGCGGGTCGTCTTCATCCCAGCGGCCCTCCTGGACCTTCCATCGCGTTCCCCTTCCGGTCTCTTGCCCTCCTCTCTTCGGATGCCCTCTCCTCTCGCGCCTTCCCGTTCCCCTGGCTGGCGGAGCGCCTCGGCCCGAGCGCCGCCGCGCGCGCGCGCCCCGGGGGTTGCGGCTCGGGGGCCCGGAGAGCCCCAGAGGAGCTCCAAGAGGTACCCCATCTGGCCTAAGAGGGCTCCGAAAGGACGCCAAAGGGAGTGTCATATCGCCACTAGTGGGCCCTAAGAGGGCCCTGAGAGAACAGAAGCTAGCACGAAGAGGGCTCCAAGAGGGCCCCGAGAATAAGCAGAGGCTCGCGCTGTCAAAACCTAAGTTTTGACAGCGCGAGCCTCCTGGCGGTAGGAGCTCCAGGAGGGCCCCAGGAGAGCCCCTGGAGAGCTGCATGAGGAACCCCATTCGGCTCAGCCAACCTCGACGACGACGAGGGCGCCGTCCTCTCACCCATAGGGTGGATAGCCTCAACTCCAACACAAGGAAGTCCTTGTTCTGGAGTCCTGGGCGAGTTCCTGCCATCGTCGTCGTCGCCGTCGTCTGAGGCAGCCTCATCGCCATCATCATCATCGCCGTCATCATCGCCGTCATCATCATCATCATGATCGTCAGCATCATCGCCATCATCGTCATCGCCTGTCATCATCACCATCGTCGTCGCCATCATCATCATCAATGTCGTCATCGTCATCATCAGCGACGTCATCATCATTGCCGTAGTCGTCGTCATCATCGTCAGGATCGTCGGCAATCGTCGTCATCATCATCATCGTCAGTGTCGTCAGTGTCGTCAGTATGGCCAATATCGTAGTCATCGTCGTCGTAGTAGTCGTCATCGTCATCGTCGTTATCGTCATCATGCGCGTCACCGCGTCCATCGTTACCCAAGCGATCGCCGTCAATGCCTCCCCCTCCTCTTCCTCCTCCTCCTCCTCCTCCTCCTCCTTCCCCAAGCGATCGCCATCGCTACCTCCCCAACTCTTCCTCTTCCTTCCCCACGCAAGCGATCGCCATCGCTACCTCCCCCAATTCGCCCCTTTTGCGCGCGCGCGGCGCGGGCGCGCGGCGCGGCGCGGAGGAGGGGGGGGGGGGGGAAGGAGGTAACTTACAAGTTACTTATAATTAACTTATAAGTAATACTAAGTGATGGTGCCTAAAATGCGTTAAGTAACTTACAATAACATATATGTAACTTACCCCGCTCGGCGATGGATGGAAAATAGTTAGAAGTAGCGCAAGTAAGTTATTTCCGCAAGAGAAGCACTTAAAAACAGATGCCCTTAGTTAGGGAACATACTCAACAGATGCTGTTACTTAACACAGAACAGAAGTAACTTACACCCAGCTATAGGTAGCTCGTAAGTACGCCTAAGATCTCGAAGCCTCCAAGCAGCGACAGGGGCCGGCAGACCCGGGCCCCGGGATCCAGGACCGGCGCGGGGCCCGGGGCCCGGGGCCCGGGACCCGGGGGCTATGAACGGGGCCCCGCTCGGCGACGGCGACGGGGCCCCGCTCGGCGACGGGGACTGGCGACGAACTTCTCCCAGCACCCGCCGAGAGAGGTCCCCGTCCAGGTTGTCGGGCGCGATCCCCTGGCCCCAGCAGTCGGCCAGGCCCAGTAGACTGTCGTCCAGACTCCCGCGGTAGAGCTGACGCAAGGCCAAGAGAGAACGATTCGCCGTCTCCACCAGCTCCATCTCCTCCTTCCAGCACGACAGCACCCGACGAGAAGTCGAAGCGGGGCGCTCCGGGCGAGCGAACGGCACCACCTCGGACAGGATGTTCCGCCGCCGAGACATGAAAACCCAAATTCGTCGCGCAAAAGCTCACGGGCCAGCCGACGGCGATGATGCGAGTCAGCTGCAGCAGAAAGAATACACTAGCCAAAACGAGCCGACGCGCAGGGGCGCCCCGACGCCGGTTGCAAGGGCCCCCCGGCTCGAAACCGAGTAGCCCCAATTGAAGCTCCTTGACTCTCACGGCGGGGCCACCGCGCCTCCGCCCAGGTCGGGGCGCGCCTTCATCAGCTGCGCGTCGCGACCCATGGCCTTCTTCATCTCTCCCTCGGCGCTCATCACTCGAATAGTGCTCTCGTCGGCGAGCTGGGGGTCCAAGCGACGTGCCGCCTCCCAGTCCACCTTTGACTTCCAGTTGTTGGCATCCTTGGGGCGGCTCCAGTCGTCGCGGCAGTTCGCGTTGCGGCACGCCCTCACAATAGCGTGGCCCTTTCGCACCAGCCGCTCGAAGCTCACCAGGTTGAGGAGTCCCCTCTGACGATCGGTCATCAGCATCGTGTCCACCGCGGCGAAGGCCGCGATCATCTCCCGAGCCGTGTTGCAGTCGCTCAGCCCCCGGTCCCTGATGAAGTCCCGCGCCCAGGCCTCGGCCGTCTTGCCTGACGAGTAGATCTCTGACAGCACCTCGGCCGAGATCCGCTGGCGGTAACCCTCGGGCATGCGGCTGTTCCACTCCTCGGGCTCGATCTCCCTTGTACTCGTCCAGCTGCTCCATGAACACCTGCTGCGGCAACTGAGCCTTGAAGCGCATCCGCTTGATGGCCAGCTCGACGGCCTCCGGCTGCGAAGTGGCAGCTCGCTTCTCGGGCGTCTCCATCAACGCCGTGGGTGCACTCTTCGTGGGGGACCCGAGCACGGCGACCGCCGAAGCCGAAAAACTCGCCCCCTCGATAGCAGCACCACGTTCGCCAGCTCCCGCCTCCGCAGGCGCCTCGCCCTTCAGACGAGCCTCGAATTGGTCCAGCCGCGCAATCATGTCCTCGATCACCTGCTTGTTGGCCTCGGCGTCCGCACGACCCCGCGAGTCCAGAGAAGCTTCGAGTACATCCCGACGTAGCTCCCTCGTCCTCTCGGCGGTCCGGATCTCGCTGATCTCCTCCATCATGGCCTTCTGGGACTCCACGAGATCGTGCAGCTGGCTCGCCAGCGCGGCACTCTCTCCGCTTGAAAGATAGCCAGGCGGCGGCGAGGGCGGAGGCCCCGAAGCAGTAGCAGCGACGGGCACATCCACGCTCGAAGCACTTGATGACAAATTGGAGACTCTCCATGCTCCACGCTGTCCGACCACTCGTGAGCCGCCCAGAGGGTCAGAAGGATCAGGGCCAAGAACATCGCAAACCAACGCTGAAGAGGCATCAGCTTCTGGGCCCACTCCTTCCACTCCCACAAGTAGGTGGCCCACTCCTGGACGACCTCCGAGCTCTCCACGAACGCATCCTTGGCCGTGACCAGGTAGCTGATCGTGTACACCCAGACCTCCTTCATATACTCGATCACGCCCAGCAACACCAGCAGCTCGTACAATGCGAACAACGCGACCAGCACACACAGGAAACGCTTGGGACTCCTCAAAGACCACCTCAGCGTCTTGAGTGACGAAGCCCCCGAGCTGAAAACGGCATACAGGACGTTCACCGCGATCGCCTGCTGACCACCCTTGCCGGGGCGATACAGCGGCCACGTCGGCACTGACGACGCCTTCAATCCCTCCGTTGCCTGGCTGACATAGGCGTCCCTCTGGGCAGCAGAAAGAGGTGGCATCGGCCGCCACCGAATCCCCGCCACTGGGTCCGTGAAGATGGACGTCTTCGCCGTGATACAGATCAGGCCCAACGTCAAGTCCGGACCGATGACGGCCCACACGTTGCCACTCTTGCGACGCACCAACTGCACCTCCACACCGTCGGTCGCACTCTGGCGGTAGAAGCGGCGAGACCATGGCTCCACTGGCATCTGTAACTCGAGACCCTCGACCTCGTCCGCTGAATCCTGCTCCGCGATAGGATCACTCACCAAAGAGAAGAGCGACCGCACCAGGAGGCCGAACGGCCAGCGCCCGAAGCGAGCCGTCTCGTCGGCGCTCTGCAGCGCACTTACCGGCAGGTCCGGCACCTGCCCCTCGTCGTAGCACTCCAGCTCGACCAGCTCCCACGAAGAGCAGCCCGAACTGTCGGAATCGCCCGCACTGCTGCCGCGCGGTGAGCAAAGGAAGAAGGGCTCGGGCGAGGCCGCAGGAACCCCTGCGGGCAGGCTCGAGCCAAAGAACTTGAGCGGATAACACAAACATAACGTGTTATGTCAGAACGGCGCCACCTGACTTTGCGCCGCCCCCGCCCTCCCCGCCCACCGACCACGTAACAGACGGGAGAGGGGGGGGAGGAGAGAGGACCACGGCCCGAAAGTTTCATTGTTTGCAACAACACACACTTGTCGCAGTGCTTCAGCCAGGTGCTCAACTGGGGGGCGGCGATGGGCCCCCCGCCCGCGCGGGTCTTCTTGGCCCTCCTGTTCGCGCGGTCTTTCGCGGTCACCCCTTGGCCCTGCAGCCAGACGCTGCCCTTCCTCAGAGAGAGCTGCTGGTTGTCGCGGGTGCGCAAGCGGGAAACGGGCGCTTCAGTTTCTTGGACAAACCCCTGCGGCGTCCCGCGGCACCTTGAGGCGCGTCACACTGGGCAGTGATGCGTGGCAGGGCGCTCGTTTCCCGCCCCATCCCCCCGCGGCCCCGACGCGGTGCGATTCTTCTGGGTCGTGCAAACGCATTGCCGCTGGGGCGCGCTCGTGCGATTCCTCTGGGGGTGCTTCGTCGCGTATCCACTGGGGCGCTTCGGGCTATTCCTCTGGGCCTCTGGGTCGTGCTTCGGCGTGCGTCCACCATGGCGCACTCGCGCGATTCCTCTGGGCCGCGCTTCGGATGAGCAGAAAGAGGACGGGGGGAAGGGGGGATGAGGGAGGGGGGGGGGAGGGGGGGGGAGGAGGACGACGATGGCGACGAAAACGAAGAGGCGGAGGCGCAGGAGGAGCAGGGGGAGGAGGAGGACCATGAGCAGGAGCAACTGCAACAGGCGTGCGTCTAGGCGCGCGTGGCCCTGGCACTGCGTCAAAGAAAAACCGTGGTGACTATAATGATTATGAGCGACCGGGGAGGAGCAGCTGCTTTGGCATTGGCGGTGCGCGCAGCAGGCGTCTGGATATCTGGACAAACCGCGGGTGCAGCTGCAGGAAGTTCTTCCTGCCCTCGCACTCCCGCTTGTTCGCCAGCGAGACTTCCGTGCTTGTTTTGCGTGTTCGGTCGCGCCCGTCTCTCATGTTGCCCACAGCCACCTGGCACTCCATCTGAGAAATGGCCCCGGCCATGTGTCTCTGGAAAACTGTGCATGGGTCCTCGTTGGTGAACGGGGCCGAGGCGTGCACCAACTCCAAACCTCGCTTTTCGCACTTCGCGATCGCCTCTTCCTGCGCCATCAAGCGGCGGGCCAACCGCTTCTCGTCGGGCACCGCGATCCGCTTGATGCCGCGCTTCTCGCACCTGTCCAGGAAGGCGGCCATGCCCGGCCTGGACAGGAACGGCGTTGAACCTGGGGAAGCAAAAAAAAACTCGACGACAAATTCGGCGCACGATTTTGCAGTCATTCGCCGCGGGGGCGGTGGAAACATGA